AAAGTTATTCTCTAAAATTGTTTTGTTTAAGAATCAGCCGCCATCTTTGGAGTGGGGTGAAAAGTCTTAAAATTAAGTTGTACGCGTTTTAAAACTATACGATCATTTTCTTTCAGAAATTGTTGAGAACTCAAATTAATTATTAAAGTGTTTGACGTTATTTCCAATTATTTACAAGCGACAGAAGAAAACATCTTATAATTATTGAGCTGTTCAACACAATTTCTGTGTGCACAGCACTCTTCGACGTCAGATGGCGTATAGATTCACTTCCACTAGTATTAAACAAAAGTTTATAAAACAAACTCATTATAGCAACAGTTAATTTACTTCAGAACATTTGCCTTTAATATAAATACTAATTGTTTACTGTTTAAGCTTAAAAAGAATACTTTACAAATACACTCACCCTTCAAACTACGGTAAGATAGGGTGTAGTAATCAGGAAAACTACGAGAAATGCAATAAAGAATATTCTTGTTTGTTTTCCATATTATTTTTAATATTTAGCAAATGTTATGTTCAATTATAATTAACTATTTTTAGTGGAAAACTAATTTCTTTAGGAATTTAGGAAGTATCCCTGATAATTTAACTGTTGTTATGATTGAAACTTATTCATCATTTAAAGAAAGAACGCAGAAGTTTTATCTTACAGGATCAGATAACAACTAACAAGTTCATAATAAAATACTTCACTTATACTTGCGTACAGTAAAAATAAAAGTATTGAAATAAGTTGGTCAAAAATTCGATCATGCAGGTTTTTTAAAATATACAATTATTCTATAGGGTCTTCGAAATATAGTCGACCTTCTGTAAGTTCTACAACTCGATATAATACATATTCTAACTGGAATATTTTTTATTCCATTGAGTTGACATATGTATCTTTTACATTTATTTTAAAATCATGAAATGAAATTTCTTCATTTGTCTAATTCGAGATTCAAGTGCGGGTTTTACGTTATAAATAAATTTTCTGACTCGATCATTTAAGCGCATCTATTATCACTACAAATTTTCACTGCAGCATTCAACATTAATAACAAAAGCAATCGTTATCTTAGGGTCATAAGGTTACAGTAAGAAAAGACAACATGACCTAAGTACGGTATATATATGTATATTGTCTGACATGGGTGATTTTGATTTTAGCGTCTTGGATATCAGTATTAGTTCTGTCGGGTGCCTGATAACGGAAATGATAACTGCAAAAAATAACCATTTCGGTTTTAATGTAAAATTTTGAATTCTTTAATAATACAATATTGCCTAAGAAAATCCAAAAATCCAAAATGCAAATGTAAATATTTCAATGTATTTATATTTTAAATTTCATATAATTTCTTTAATAAATATTCAAAGTTTATTAATTGTAAGATTTAAAGTACAATTAATATACTTACTATATATTTTTAAGAAAGATAAATGTAGGAGAATGTATTTTGAAATAGATAGAAGGATAACTTAGCCTTTTTATGCTTATTTCTCTTAATTGACGATCTGACATGTAAACATGTCATCCATCTTTGATTTCGATATTACAAATAAACACTTCAATTTTATTTATGTATACGTATTATATAGATGATATTTTCTGAAATCAGTATTGTTTAAATACATCTACCTGATGCATGCCACACATCTTATGCAATTTATGAACTTTTAGAGGCCATCTACTTTAATCATCTACTAGATATAATTACTTCTCTTTTCTAAAGTGATTATAATAACTTCTGCATATTTAATGTACGAGGGTGGATTGATAAGTTTCCGGCCTGACCAAGAAAAACAAGGTTTTTAAAAATTTTTTTTTTTTATTTCTCAACATAATCTCCTCCAAGGCTGATACATTTCTCATAGCGGTGTTCGAGTCTATTAATGCCATCTCTATAGACTGATTCGTCAAGCTCCTCAAAATAACCATTTACAGCTTCGATTACTTCTTCATTGTCCGCAAATCTCTTACCGCCAAGCCATTTTTTGAGATTAGGGAACAGAAAATAGTCACTCGGGGCTAGGTCTGGAGAGTAAGGAGGGTGCGGCATCAATTCAAACTTTAGATCGTTGATTTTAGCCGTCGCAACGATTGACGTGTGCGCTGGTGCGTTATCGTGATGAAACAAGATTTTTTTCTTCGCCAGATGAGGTCGTTTAATTTTCACCTCGTGGCTCAAACGTTGCAATAAGTCTGCGTAGTATTGACCAGTGATAGTATTACCCTTTGCAAGGTAATCAATGTATATAATACCTCTTGCATCCCAAAAAACAGTAGCCATAACCTTGTTCGCCGAAAAAATTGTTTTTGCCTTCTTTGGAGTTGGTTCCCCTGGTCCAATCCACTGTTTAGACTGTTCTTTGGTTTCAGGAGTGTAGTGGTGGACCCACGTTTCGTCAACGGTTACGAATCGACGCAAAAATTCGCTTGGATTACGCTTATACAATGACAAATTTGCGGTAGAAATGTTTTTTCGAATCAATTTTTGGTCGACTGTTAGCAAACGCGGCACCCATCTTGCACAGAGCTTTTCCATATGCAAATGTTGGTGCAAAATATGTTGCACACGTTCATATGACATCTTACAGGTCTCAGCTATCTCACGCACTTTCAATCTGCGGTCTCCCAGCACTATTTGATGAATTTTTTCGATCATATCTGGAGTTGTGACCTCAACGGGGCGTCCTGAGCGAGGCCCATCAGAGGTGCTCACACGACCCTTTTTAAACTCGGAAACCCACTGCTTAACGGTTGAATATGACGGGGAGGATGTCCCCAGTGTTGAGTCCATCTCTTTTTTAATTTCCTTCGGCGTTAACCCCTTCAAATAAAAGTATTTGATGACAGCACGATTTTCCTGCTTTTCCATTTTTACGAAAACCACAGAGGCGTCTTGTTCAGCGTGCTGTCAAACCTACACTAGCAAGGAGATCGGGCTGAAACTATAGCTACAAGCTATCCAAGGATGGTACTATAGAATGTCACCTCAAGGTAGGCCTAGTGGCGTCATCTCTTGGTTAGGCCGGAAACTTATCAATCCACCCTCGTATTTTCGAAATAATAAGACATTGAAGATATCCGCTCTTGTTATAGAATTTTAATTTATTACTTATCCAAAGTCCACGCTCGTCACTGTATCCGTCGAAGTGTAGAAACGCATACGTATTCTTATCTAAATATTACTTATTGGTTGTTACTACTTGAAATGGAAATTTATCTATGTATAGCGTACTGCTCGTAGATACATAGTAAAATAAGTTCATGTAAATATTGCGAAACTGATTACGTAAAAGTGTAAACTTAAACTTGCACTTTGTATGATGTATATAGAATGTACATATAGATACTATTGTAATATTAATATGTAAGTACTTATAACCGATTCTCTTGATGTCCATCTTCATGAAAGTTTGGAGAAAATGCCAAAAACAAAATTGCAGAGATCGTGCAATTAATCAATGAAAAGAAAACGCCATATACAATAGAATCCGCTTATAATGACATTGTAGGAAAATGACAAACACGCCATACTAAGTGGGCGTCTTACAGAGCAGTCTTAGAAAATAAACAACTTTTTATTTTCGTTATTTAGTTTAATAGAGAGAAAAAAAATTACAAATTGTATATACTTATTAACAGAAAAAGTAAAAGAATCATGAATTGTAATATCAATATACATACATAAGAAGGATCAGAAAAATGAGCGAAAATGTCATTATTAAAATCGTTTGGGTTATGATTTCTTGAGAATCAGTCATAGTAAACGATATCCTATAGAGACTTCTATATGAAAACCAAACTTAACATTGCAATTACTTCATATTAAGCGATTGGTCAATATAGGCGGAGTCATAATAAACGAATTCCACTGTTATAATAAATTTCCGTAATGATATTTAATGTAGATGACACATTTCTTTTTCGGAATTTTTCCTGTTTATGTCGCTTGAACAAAGATGGTACAATTATGGAATAAATTTCTTCAACCACATTTATCTGAGAGTATCTACTACTTCTCTGAAAACTATCCCAATCTAACCAAACTCTCAAAAACTTTTTGAAAAAAGTGTACCACTCCTTTCAATTGCATTTATTGGATTTTATTATTTAAGGAAAACAAGGCTGAAGGTACTTGTATGGATTTTTCAGTACCACGTCATACTTTTCAAAAGATTATGTCAACCTTTGAAGATTGCTTAAACTGAATTGTTTTCACTAAAAGTACGGTTTTTGACTGTGATGGTTTTAACTGATTGTTATACCCTTTCGGACTTATGGTTGCGTGTGTTGAGACTTCACATTATTTTAGAGACACTGTTTCAAAATTTGCACACTTTTGGACTACGATAGTCGCTTGAACGGAACCGCATCTATCTGAGAGTATCTGCTACTTCTTTGAAAACTATCCCAATCTTACCAAACCCTCAAAAACTTTTGAAAAAAGTGTACCACTCCTTTCAATTGCATTTATTGGTCTTTATTATTTAAGAAAAAGAAGGCTGAAGGTATTTGTATGTATTTTCTAATACCACGTGAAATTTTTTTGGACTACAATATTTCACCAGTAATTTTACTGTTATCAATCTTAATAAATTTTATTTATTGTTGATGTTTCCCCTAATAACAAAACTGAAACGTTTTATTAATCGATAATCTTCACTAGCCTTGTTTACAAAGCCAAATTCGACACAAGAAGGTCGATTCCATGAACCTACAAATGTCCTTTAGAAACGTTTAATTATGTATATCAAATATAATGGATTCTGTAACGCAACAAATAAATAATTAGCTGCGCTTTCTTATCGTGCGAGGAGCAAAAGAACTGGTTTACCGTAAAACGTACTTCTTCGGCATCCTCTTTCATTCTCAGACGTCCTTGCATACGATACGTTTCAAAGTCAGCTACTTCCTCAATGTAAATATTTTACCAGAGAACAGGCTCATCGGTGCCCTTAGATGGTAGGTAGATCCATATATAAAAGACACCTTCATTCCCAAATACCACAACAACATTATATCTTGTCGAGTTCTGGTGCATTAACCAGTAGCGTAAATAGAGCAAAAGTGTGCGTACTGTTAGTTAGTTAATAATAGAAACCACGATGCTGTGTTCTGTGACAATATTCGCCACCTTCCTGGCAACGTCCTCGGCAAGTCCTGTAGTTTATCCTGCTGTCCCAACATCTAGTCAGTACCATTCTCAAGACGGCCTCGGCCAGTACAGCTACGGTTATTCCGAACCCTTATCCGCAAAATCAGAGATCAGATCGGCTGATGGTGTTACAAGGGGCGGTTACTCGTTCTACGACGCCGAGGGTAAACTACGGACTGTTCAGTACGTTGCCGATCCATTAAACGGATTCCAAGTCGTTGCTTCCGACATTCCTGACCCTGCGAGGACTCTAGAACAACGAGCCGTTGAATTAGAGCAACTCAAACCTGTCGAAGACACTCCGGAAGTTGCTGCAGTTAAGGCTGAACATTTGGCCGCCGTTGAAGAAGTCAAAGCAAGATTGGCCGAAGCTGAAAGAAACAGTGTTCCAGGTGAAGAAGAAGAAGAGCGAGAAGAAGTTGTAAATCCAGTATCCTCGAATGCAATAAATGATGGTCCAGCACCGGTGGCTTATTCAGCGGTACCCGCTCCCATGGCATTTCCTGTTCCAGCTGCTTATTCGTATTCTTACACGACTCTTCACGATACTGGTCTAGAACAACCTGTAGCCGGTGCTTACGCTACCCCACTGATAAGATAATCAGTACTTATGTCTAAATTTTATGTCATAGGTATAAGTGACAATTTTGTACCTCGTATCTCTAAAATTAATTTGTATAGTGTTGTGAGAATTTAATCCAGAATAATTAAAAAAAAAAAAGAACAAGAATTGCTTCGCATATTATTATTAATTATTATTTTGCAGAAAAGGATTCGGAAATTATACACTTCAATTGAAAATTCCAATTGTATGAGACAAGGGAAGATAGTCGTGCATGCGTGGAAGTGATGTAATTTTTAAATAGTTGATTGGTTTGATCCTTGATGAATATTTATAGTAGGTGGGTCTATAAATAGGAAAATTACATTGATTTCTTTTATGTTGCTGATAAACGAAAACCGTAGCAATTGTTACGCTAAACCATGGCGACACGTTATGGGGCCAATGAAATGAAAAGGAGAATATATAAAAATTAAACTTCTAAAGCAATGAAATCAAAAGATACGACTATTTATATTTTATAAATGGAAAATCCAAAACCCGTAAATATTTAGTTACACATCACAAAAAAATAATTGTAATTATACGTTTTGGGGACTGATTTTGGGGGGGATACTTAAAACATACTTGGAAAAAGCGAGAAAAATCTTCGAGACTCAACTTCCATAAATTCGTCACATTTTTAGATAAAAATAATTACATTAAACCTTTTCTTGAAGTCCCTAAATGATCTCTAAAATTGAATAAAAAAAATTAAATCCTTCATCTTCCTAAAATACATGCAAAAACCATCAAGAATTCGGTTTAAAGACGTATATTATACATGAACGAAAGGGACATTTACAAAAGCAATTGTTTTAGATACAGGACTAATCAAGCAAGTTAAAGTGGTGAAACGTGTATTATTTGTTGATTATTGATAAATAAAACATTTTTAATCCCTTGAAGTTGCTTGATTAGTCGTGTTCATTGGTATTAGGGGAAGAATTACGAATATATACTGTTTTAGAAAGACTACTAATAAAAACCCCCCGCAAATTGACATCACATTTAAAAGCCATGTTCACATAAGTCATAGCTACTAATTACTATCAGGAATAACTGGTGATTAATCCCAGTAAGGTCTTGTAGTATCGCAGTTCTCGGTGGACTGCGAGGATTTCCGCAAGAGTGCTGACTTTCATCCTGTCAAGGCGGAAAATGTGTTCTTCCCCGTCTCTACAGTTATACTATAATACCATTATCACAACCAACACTGTCTGTTGAGAAACAGTAATTGACTTTACTTGATAACTTGATAATGTTTTGCATGTCTAATAAATAGATTGTGTCTTGATTGATTGATCCTAGCTTTGATTTTGAATTCAAAATAAAAAATTGAGTAAGTCTTAATAGCTAATAGTAATAGCTATAGAAACACAGAAACTGAAAGGAGCGGTAAACAAAAAAGTAATTCTGATAGAACGCACGATCACCCCGTTAATTTAAACTTTCATTAAATTTAAATAGCATTATACTTCACCACTTTCGAGATCCGGGAGATTATCTCTTTCAGAAAAATTGAAAATTAAAAAAGCTTTAAACAAGAAAAACAGTATTAACAACGTTTTATTCCTCGTTAATTTAACTCAAATCTTAATGGATATAAATATTATTTTAATCTTTAGTAATATTTATGTATACTTGTAAATGTCTGAATAAGTCGAAACAATTGTTAGTGCCTTCTAATAATAAGAAGTGAAAAACTCCAATATATATTTTTCTCCACATAACATAACTAGGTGGAATTATTGTTCAGTTAGACAATATTAATCTAATTGAATAAGGGTTGTTGTCTGTAACAAGACTCAGCCATCTAGACTTTTGACTAATTAAGTGGAAAAATGAACAAACGAAATCACAAAAAGTAAACTGCTGAATCAAGCGCATCGATTTTCCTTTGGCATATGACCCGCACAATATTTTTCTGGTTGAAGTTTACGTTATCCTGGATTCCCTTTTTGTTCCTTTATTCATCCCGTCACTCCATAGAGGGATTTCGCGACATCGCACAGTGTTACCAATCTCAGAAGCTTTCAGTGTCGCAGAAAGTGAAAACATCAAACCGAAAACACAATGGAAAGCGCAAGGCGAACCGCGTCTCTTATATTAATTGACTTCATTAAGTAAAAAAAATAATATAAGTACAAATAATGCGAATAATTGTAAGGCGAATATAAATGTGACAAACATCCTTGTCGACAATTTTTCTTTTTATGATGTATAATTTAGTGAATGTGACGAAGATTTTATTCCAACTAAGTCTAACTGAAAATACCTAAGGCTTCCCTGAAAACTACCCTAAACTTGAACAAAGTCTAACACCCCTCAAAAACTTTAAATTGCATTTATTGGACTTGCATATTGAATTATTTATATGAAAAGGTGACTGAAGGTATTAGCACGAATTTTTCTATAATCCTTCATATTTTACGCCCTTTGCTGATTATATGTAATAAAATATTTCTATGTCCGATTTTCAACTAGCTACTGGTGAGTGATGAATATCGAGGGTGTAATATTTTCAACAAAACTGTAATTAACTGAGAAGAAATTTTCGTTAAATATTTTCTGTTTAATATTTTAAATGATTAGAATACCCAGTATTGAGGATTGATTCAAGAAAATTATAATTTTGCTGGTTTCTGATTTCAATTTTTTTTTAATATATATTTTGTTAAATATACATATATTTCAGAAAGTAAACTTGATCATTTATTTTGCATCTCAGATTTAGTTGTATCGTCAGTACCTTGCCACATTTTCTACGTCACAATCTCAAAAATTTAAAGAAAGGCTGAAGTTTCTACTTTAATTAGCAGTATCTAATATATATATGATTAAAAAAAAACTTTTTCCATTTTACCAAGTTCTCTGAAAATACCTTTTTCTTTACAAATGCATGAACTTTTCTTATTAATTAATATTGTTAACTTTGAAATCGAATATCTTTTAGAATAAGCATTGAAGTATATTTAAATTTGTTTATAAATTTTCTATTACTTCAAAAAGTAGTAAACTAATATGTATAAAATGTGCCATAACTATTTACAAGGTATAATTGTTACTACTATAAGTAGTACTTATTGGTATTTTACTGTATCACAGGTTAATTAAACAAGAATTTAGCTTATTATTGCTTAAAAACAAAGCAAATATATGTCTGTGAGTTACTTAGATTAATTTTGGCAGTAAATAAAACAAATTTAGGCATGAGTCGCAACCCAAATTAGAAAATACAAAATAGATTGAATTAGTGCCAGAAAATTGTATAAGAAAGGTCAACGAGAACGAAAAGCAAAATCATATTTTGGGTCAAATAAACTAGAGCACTCTGTATAACGCAGACGAAAAGAGGTTTTAGATGTCTTATCAACAGATTATTATCTTTTCAATTTTTAGGAAGCGCGATGGGATTTATTATTATCAAAATGAGTACCTAAGCTGACAGAAGTTCTAAAAAAAGTTTAAATTTGTTTTAAATAAAAGTTGAATTTACTAATATAGAAACCGGAAAGGATTTTCAGAGCTTTAAATTACATACATATATTGTGAAAAAGCTGCAGCCATGTTCACATTTGTGTTGTGTTGAGAAAGGAAGTAGCAATCCAATAGTTCTCGACTTGTCGCCGGGTAACGAGCTGTAGTTCGCGGCAGCGAAGGCAGTTATCAGGTGAACTTCGTGCCGGTATCAGTAAATCTATTGTAGTTCAGTGAAAAATGTCGATTGCCGGCAGAGAGAAAACTGAAAATGGCACGTTTGATTTCCCCTACATGAAACCACCGACAAAAACCACATGGGAAACAATAAAAACCGCCCTGTGGAATCCTGACACTAAAGAAGTTTTCGGAAGAACCGGCAAAAACTGGGGTAAGTTTCAAATGAAGCTTTTTTTAGCAGCAAAGTTGTTTGTTTACTGTTTTTGTTGCTAAGCAATTATGAAACATGTGAATTGTACACCAGTTTAATTCATGAATACCCGTATTAGTTCAACTTTACAAAAGCAATAGTTTTAGATACAGGACTAAAAGTGCAAGTTAAAGTGGTGAAACGTGTATTATTTGTTGATTATTGATAAATAAAACATTTTTAATCCCTTGAAGTTGCTTGATTAGTCGTGTTCATTGGTATTAGGGGAAGAATTACGAATATATACTGTTTTAGAAAGACTACTAATAAAAACCCCCCGCAAATTGACATCACATTTAAAAGCCATGTTCACATAAGTCATAGCTACTAATTACTATCAGGAATAACTGGTGATTAATCCCAGTAAGGTCTTGTAGTATCGCAGTTCTCGGTGGACTGCGAGGATTTCCGCAAGAGTGCTAACTTTCATCCTGTCAAGGCGGAAAATGTGTTCTTCCCCGTCTCTACAGTTATACTATAATACCATTATCACAACCAACACTGTCTGTTGAGAAACAGTAATTGACTTTACTTGATAACTTGANCTAAAAATTTCTTTTTAATGTTATGCACGTAACCTGACCTTGAAGAGGTGCATAATATTAAAACTAAAAAAAAACTAAAAAGAATTACTAACCATAAATTATGAGCTCTTAATTTTTAACTATAGCGCTAAATTGGCTCCATAAAATTCGGTAATTTTGGCATTTTCAAAATAAATTTTGACCATTTTGCTGTGCTAGCTTCAAGGTCGTTGTAAAATAGGTCATTTAACCTTTCAGTTGAAACACTTCGTATACAGATGCTGTAGAATGCTTACCCATTAAACAAAAACTTGCATTTTGAAGTTCACCTTTTAAAAGAGATTTTATTATTAACTGTTTAACACTGCTAATGAAATGAACATACTAGAATTGCAGTAGTTGTTTTTACATAAACTTTCATTTGTTACAAATGATAATAAAAACTTCAATGTAATAAATATGTAAAATGTTCTCGCGAATCTTTCCGTAAAATTCAATATGAATATGCATATGATGAAACGAATGGCTTAAAATAGAAGTAACAGAAACTTAAAATTCAACAGATTGACTGGCTCTTTGCCAAAGATAAGTACCTAAAGTGTAATACCATTTGAATATGATTCTTCGTCTTGGTAATTGTAACACAAAACATTTTAACTTTAACTTCTAAATTCCATTTTGTAAATAATATATAATTTAATATAAAATTTATGAAAATATGATCTTCTATTGATACTAATTCGATACAAAATGTTAGAATAAGTAGTAGACTTTCCAGAATTTACATTACATAACATATGTGGTTGTGTGGCACAAATTATGTTTCTTGGCATCGCTATTATTAGAAAACCAATTTTATCGAAGAGTACCAAGAAATTTCGTGGTACTAATACCCCGACTTCATAACAAATCGTTATAAGATGTTGCCCATTACTTTTTACTTTACTTTACCTTTAGGGTTCCTAAATCTTAAAGGGAATGTACCTACGTATGTAAAGTAGTCACGTTTTCTGTGGATCTTTTGTGCTATTATAATCCGGCATGAACAAAAGGTGGTCTTTCTTGTTATTAACCCTTTGAATCAGTTTTACATTACATCTGCACATACTTATTCATGCCAGATTACACGTGCATTATGCATAGGTACAATCATACCTAAACTGAATAATTCTCGTAATAAAAAAAATGAATGAAAATTTCGCTGTAAAAGAAACAACCGCATTCCCTACGAACATCTGTATTTTTAGTTCACATGCATCGGTGAGGGCCACTCTGGGCACCGTAAAAAATGCCGCCCCATTACCTATAGGTATTATACACAGAATAATTTTTGACTTTCCGCCATAAAAACCACTCATTTTTGAAAATTGGGAAGATATTAATTTCAGAGCGATTTTCGAAAATCGAGAGTATTCATCAGATCTCGACGTTTTGAGATCACAAGTAGCTAAAGCTCAAGAGCCTACGTCAAATGCTGTAAAGCCCATCAAAATCAATTGATCCGTTCGAGAATATTGTTGACGAGAGGTTTTAAAAAAGGCTTTTGTTCTTTTAAAAGGACTTGCGAATTGCTAATGAAATCGAGATTTCGTACTCGGCTACCTGTTTGTGCTTTACAAACGTCAACAAATGCTGTTGGTTCATTTAAAAGATATTTGTACCCGAATATTCAAAAAAAGTAATTATCGGATTTTTAAACCTAAAAGCAGAATTCGTTTCAAGTGCGTATCTATTTTTTCAAGCGATTTGAGCTCGAAAACAACGAAAAATATATTTTTTTGTATAAATTTGTAAATTTATTGTATTCATTTTTATTTGTAAATGCACACTTTTTGATAGCTCAAAAAAACTTTTCTCAAGCCCCGAATTCTGTCGCCCCTAGGAATTTACCATCCTGGGCATTAATCCCTAGTGCCCCTAGTGTATGATCTAGTACTGCATACAGCACTTTAACGGAAACTCGCCCATTTATTGATTTGAAATTCTTGTTGTGGTGTACATTGATGTATAAGTAATAAATCTTATTTTAAAAGCGACAAAAGTATGTTTTTAAATTATTTAATTATTAATCAATTAAATTTTATTATCCGCGCACCAACGTTTCGCATTAAGATGATACACTTCCTCAAGGGGGTTATAAAATTAAATTAAAAAATTTCACCGCAGAACATTGATTCAACATCGATACTCTTGGGGAAAAATCAGTAACCGTACAAATATAAATTGGTGTTAATTATGGGGCTGAAAGTTTAAATATGGTTCATATTATTTCTTCTTTCTGATGGAAAGCCTATTTCGTAAATGTTTTGCTATTCTGAATATAGTAGGTAGAAATATTTTGTGAATATTAACGTTAGGATTCAAAATTTGCTTTTTAATGCTTATTTATCGTTATGAATGTCCATACCTACTAATAATAGTAGACTGTATGTGTTTGATCACAAAAAAAGATAAAACTTTTGCCATAAATTATTATACAAAATTTCTAATGCTATGATTGCTAACACTACAGATATTAGTTTACAGTTTAGTTGCAAATCCTGTAAGAAAACCTGAGTATTCTTTAATTTTTGGTAAATTATAGGTGTAGATTAACTTCAATCACTAATTGTATGTGTTATGTATGAACGTTATTCATTCTTTTAATAAAACGTACATATAAGTAATCAACTAACCGATAAACGAACTTAACACTTGCTGTGGTCCTTGTAATATTGATAAACACTCTACACTATCACTTGCGTTAGTGATGATAATAGCTAATTTATATTGGGAGTTTATTAATATCTTGTATGATTTTAAAGCTAAAAGATTTCAGAAATTAATTGCAGGTGCATTTTTTCTATATTTTTTTATGTAATATAAGTATAATCCCCTCGTTCATTTCGGTTATTATTAATTTTTCTTTTATGAAATGGATTATTTTTATCAATCAATAAGTACTTAACAAATTGACCTAGACAGCTACTTATTAATATTCATTGTAAAGATTCTATTAACGTCAAAAAAACAAAGCTGCTAATAACAATAGGTCAGACACTTTTAGAAATGCGAAAATTCAGAAAAGCATGAAATTATCTTGTTCAGCTAAATAACGATATGATGTGATGACACCTGTTAAAGAAATAAAATAATAAACTGGGAATCCATAAATGTTTTATAATACTGTAGCGAGCAAGAGCGTGTTTGTGTGCGATCGGGCATACGTGTGTGTGAACGGCTTATCGATTCGCCGACTAGCCGCGGGCGCCTTTCTTTATGTGCGCCGTATTTGTAAATGTGTGTGTCGTACCTGCGTTCTGGGAAAGTAGTTAAACAGTTCAAAGAAAAAGAAACTTTTCCGGACGTTTCGAGAAGGTTCCCGGAAGTAAACAAAAGAATATTTAAAGGAAGAGACGATCGCCGAGAAGAGTAGAAATAAATTGACCGTTGCAGAAGTGAATCCAGAAATAAATTGACAGTGATAGCAGTGAAACAAATAGCGCAGTGAATAGTGATACATTAATAATTAGTGTAAATAAATAGTTTTGTTATAATCAGTCTTAGAAGTAAATTTTGCTAAACCCACGAATATTACAATATATTGCAGTGTAATTTACTACCTACTTATTTATGTTTTCTGCTATATCCTGTGTCATTCCTCTCTTTATTTAATTGCCTTAAGGATAATCCGAGCAGTTCAATTTTGTGTACATAATAGTTTCATCATATTTCCGTTCTACCCCATTAGTCTTGAACATGATCCTTAAAACGATTATGTTCATTTTATAGGAAAAAAGTCGCCAAAATGTCGAGTCAAATGAGATTGTCTAGTAGAGATAAGAGGGTATAAATTTCAATCATCCCCGTTCTCTTTACCGACCCTCTGTCTGTGTACACAGTGTCATCTTATCCAACTTTTGTTAATCGTAAAAAGGGCTGATTGGCGACGTTAGAATTATACCGTCACATAAGTTCATTAAGGTTTTCTTAGAACGTATTAGCATCATGTCATTTGGTCATATAAAAAAAATAACGGCATATATCTATCTCCATGATAAGGTACAAATACATTATTAACAAAAGAGTAAAAGCTTTGGTCGCTATTCACTAGTTTGGCAAATGCCAAATGAGCTTATTAAACGAAAAACTGTAATCTTACAAATATTTTAGCAATCAGAAGCAGATGGAGGAAGCAAGAACATCATTTAAGAAAATGCTTAAAGTATTGATAAAAATGAGAGATCTAAAAAATTAATAAGAGTCTATTTATTACATAGTATGTGGAAAATACCAAAATAATATTATTAGAGTATCTAATGAATCAATTTTATATCCTATGGATATAGAAATAAAGGTGCTCAAATAATTCAAATTGGTCAGATAATTCAAAGAAAAACATGGTCTTGGGTCAACGTCATCTTTGCTGTTGGTAATGCGGAATTATTCAGGGCAGCA